TAGAAAAATACACAGTTACGTTTACAATTAAATGGTATAATTATGATTCACAGCTGCTATTTAATGTAATGATTGAATTTTATACCAAGTCATTATTCTTTAAATCAAATGTTAATGGGACACTAATGATTTAAAAAAAGTTTTATTTTAAATATAATCTGATTGTTTTTATTTCACATGTTTCTTTAACGCCATTACGTAAAGGCGTAAACGTAAATTAGGAAAGATTAGACTTATCATCTACATTAAAACAATAATTAATAAAAAATATACATAATATGTATATATTAATTATTCACAAAAACTAAATTAACAAAGCTAACTAAACTCGCCGCTTAAATTAATATGAAATGAAATATACTCAATATTTCCGTTTTTACTTAAAATTAACTTACATATAAAACCTCTTTCTAAAAATTAACTAAGACATAAAACCTCATTCTTTAATTATTAATAAAAAAAACAGTTAATACTCACTGGAGTGCTGGAACACTGCACCACACCGCTAGGGCTTCGGATTAACAATAACATGCATAATTGTTACTTGATAATAAAAGTTGCTATCTACAATATACGTGTTTTTCAATTATCAATGTCCATCTGTACATACTATTGAGTCACTCAATATTTTTATTATATTATTATTACTATTCGATTCAATTTAAACAATATTAATATATAAGAATAAAGTTATTAAAGAAAAATTACTTTACCTTTAGATTCAACATTCAAAAGCTTTTTTTTGTCTACAGTCTTTATGAGAAAGTTTTTTATAAATATACAAAACATAAATTTAAATAATTCCACTTACGTGAGATTGACGCTACAGTTGTTATTAGACTAGATTTATTTTCGTAAAAAAATAAAACAAGGTTCTGGTATTTTTTCAGTGGGCAAATTAGGTCACTTCAAAAGAAATGAAAGAAAAAATTATTTGTTTTTTTTATTATCTATGTAATTTATAGGTATGTCTTTAATCATAAGAGTATGTTGAATAGAGCCAAAAATGAAATATAATATAATCAGATGAAGAACGCAATCTCGGAGAAATACCCATCCATATATTTTGTTTGAAAGTTGTGATATTTTCAATGCCTTTTTCAGTTTAAATGACATTTGATGAGACTTTACTGGACCTCCCCCTTCCCCATTTTGAGCTCAGGTATTAATGGACGCCCCCAAAATTTAACTAGAATTTTTTTAGACCTATCTTAAATCGAATGTATCCTAAAGATAAGCTTTATATTTTTTTTTAAATAAAAAAGAAGACTTTGAACGCGATAGTTTTCCTGAAAATATTCTAACTGCAGTTGCTAAGCGGTTATGCATAACATGCGCTTCCACACTCAAGAGATCTCAGGCCTGTTTAGAAACATTTGTAATAAATTGTATTTTACAATAGTTTTTATTCACAAATAAACACAGAAAATAACACCTTATGAATAAACTTGCTGTAAAATGAAATAAACTATATTCAATTAGACTTATTAGAAGCACTTTTTAATCGTCAATTTCATTTAAACGTCAGTGTAGTCAGTCTGTGAGGAAGCCGTACATAAGTAAACATGAAGTTAATGCAAAAAATGACATTTGCAAGCCTTGTAAATAAAAAAGCGTAATCTAGTGTACAAGTATATATATATATATATATATATATATATATATATATATATATATATATGTTGAAGGATTTCTTAGAAAACACGCAGTTTTACTTATGATTCATTTCCGACAGGTTTATATGTAAATATTGAGGTATAAAAGAAGATACTATCAGGTCTAATCAATATCCCTATGCCTATTTCTTAACTTTTCTTATTCTTAAATAATCGGGATGAATTTTCTGTGTAAATACTAAAAATAAATATATAATTAAAAAATGAACCTACACTATTTATTGGAATTTCTGTGATACATTATCGACAAGGTGTTGAAAAATGCCTTTAAGTGCTTTTTACACTGCAAAGATTTTTATAGATAAGACATAGCCTAGAGCGTTATTTGAATTTTAAAAATGAAGGAAAAGGAAGGGTGCTTCGGGAAAAATAAAGGAAGTGGTTAGCCCTTAGTGCTCTTATTCTACAAGTACAACCAATATATACGAGTAGCGCTACTATTTACGGTAATAAGTTACCGCTATTTTACCTTCCTTCAATGGCCTTAAATATTTCAAGAAAAACTATGGCACAAGGTAGTTAAAATATGTATATTATCAAGAACAAGTAGCGTCGATACTTGAAAGTGTGATAGCAGGCGCCGATGTTTCGAGGAACTGTGGAAATTTATTTTCTTCCCGCCCGATTGAAATATCAATGTCAATGTCATGCATTTATTTTCTAATTTAGTTCCAAAATTTTTCAAAATTAAAATATTTTAAATTAAATATTAAATTATAAGGTGAAATTTTAATTTAAGTAAATTTTATTTAAAGTTTATGATTTAAAATTTTTTTGCTTGCAACTTTTTTATGTTAAACAAGATAAAAAATGCTTTTATTAAATAATTTTTCTTTTTTAATCTTGTAATTTTTTAGCTTATCTCTGCCACAGTCATGTGTTAAATGAGAAAATTTTAATTACATCAAACACATAATATTACATGTAAAAATTAAAATTTTCATTATAGCTCAGTTAGTCGCCATCACAACTCTTTTCTAACTAACATTTTCATGTACTCTACATAAAACCTCTTAATTTCATATTCTTTCAGTTATTGAAAGTTAAACTATTAGTATATTTTATTGATGTACAAAAACCTATCCCGTAAAATCCGGTAATAAGGCTAACAATAAGTTAAAGTCTTAGAACTTAATATTTTCTTAGATTTACGCGAATATTTGACATTTTAAATAAAACTACCTTTTCGGATTTTTTCGCGAATTTATTTTGATTTTTGGTTCCCGACGTTTCGAATGCCTAACAGCAATCAGTCAGTTTACTCTCTCCCGTGACCATGATTGTCATAGAACTTACTTATAAATTATTATCATTGACTCATCTTAAGGATATGAAATTGGAAAATTACTGTATTCTGCGAGTAGACGAGTTGGTATGTCGAAACCTCTTATAGATAGTATAGTTATGTTGAGTATGAGTGTTAGTTTGTTATCTTAAAAATGTATGTATGTATGAATGTATGTCCAAAGGGCACGGGCTTCCCTTTACTACAAAGGTTTTCTCAGATTTCCTCACGATGGTTTCCTTCACCGTAGGACAAGTGGTAATCAAGTTAAAAACAATTCGCACATGAAAATATCAGGTGCGAGACTCGGGATATGAACCCGCTTCACTCGATTTCCCAAGTGATGCGTTACCACTAGGCTACCACTGCCTAATTAATAATATAATGTTATTTAAAGACCAGACATTTAGTTAATATATTCATTTAGAATTAGGCCAAAAATGTAATCACTTCTAATCGGATTACAAATAATTAATTATAAATGCATTTGTAAGTATGGTACTTCTTGTCTTAAACGGCTGGACGAATTTAGACAAAATTTAGTACACAGATAAACTATGACCTATTACCATATAGGTATGTAGGCTATGAACTCAACTGTTAGGCACCTTTTTTTTTAACGTTGGGAAATGCATTTACGCACGAGGTGTGGGACTCGCCGGCAAAGCCAGTACTACCCACTAAAACCCAACAAAGCCTTCCCCCGTCTTAATGGGGCGTCGCAGGATCGCTTACGCATTCAACTACGACGCCCCGACGGCAGGTCTGCCGAAGCAGACCACAACAACCACGGGGTTGCTCCAAGGTCCACTCTGCTATCAGAGAAGTACCAGGAGCAACCCGCATGGTACACCGCCCTCCGAAGAGGGCCACCTCCCACTGCCCACCGAAGTGGGCCACCTCCCTGTGCGTTTCTTGGTTTCGCGCCCGGTTGGGTTGCCGGGCACTACTGAGCCCCCCCACCACGACAAGGTGAACACACGTTGGGGGGGAACTGTTAGGCATCTAGATATGCACTCGAGCGATGGTAAGTCGCTCCTTGCTAGTATATACTATATACTCGTATGTACCTTAATACGGTACCTTTATACTGTACTAGCGACTCGTCCTGGCTTCGCTCGGGTTCGTACCTAGATTGATTTCCCATACAAACTTTCATCCCAAACTTCACCCCCTTAAAGAATGATTTCCGGGATAAAAACTATCCTATGTCCTTCCCAGGGTCTCAAACTGTCTTCTTACCAAGTTTCATCTAAATCGGTCCAGTAGTTTCAGAGTTTATTCGGTACAAAGAAACAAAAAATCTTTCCCCTTTATAATATTAGTATAGATAATTTTATTCAGTACCTATAAATTAATAACTTATAACCAATACTATATGTACTCGAGTTGAATATATCAAGTTGTAGATACTGAAATAAAACGTAAGAACGTTTTCTCAAATTTTCCCATTAGTCGAGTGTTTGATAGGGCAATCAGTCGACCAGTTCATGAAAATGATGTACTTAGAAAATTAATATGGATATTATAATTGCGATTACGAGGACGGTTTTTGTGTAGTGTCACTGGCACTGATTATTGACATAAATATCGCCATTTTGATTTCTTCAAGTGTCGTTTTTTTTTTAATTCGACTTTAGATAAATGTAATTTATTGAGTTATCAACTTTAAACACGTTTATTGTTCTATTTATGATTTAAAGTTATATCTTATGTTTAGACTGTATTTTAGACACAATTGCTTTATTCGTTTGAGATTCGTTTCAAAATATCACGAAATTGTTTGGTTATTTAAAAAAAAATATTCGACCATCGTATTTTATTGATGTATTACAGTCCCAAAAATCTTATATCTTGGGAATATACCACCTTTTTCAATTTAGTTATAATGTTTACGTCATTCTAATTACAAAAAATATCTGTCAGAAAATCTATTTGATTATCCACACATCACAAAATTGCAGAGCAAATTATCTAAATTAAAATGCACAGTCGATACGAAAATCTAAATTTATTCAAAGTTAGTCAGCGTCGTTAAAATGGCGCTTCAAACGAAACTACCAAAATTGAAGCCTAAAGAGGAAATCGGTATAAAAGCTGCTCATTTGCTAGGTCCGAGCTTAGAATGTAAGTTCGATGAATTGAAGTATGAAATTCTGAACAAAATCGATAAAGAAGTCAACGATTCTAAGAACGCCAGAGATTACATATCACAAAAGTATGATGAACTTTGTAATAAAATCCAGTATTTGTCAGAACTGGACTCTACCGTTCATGGGTTTAGAAGTGACGTAAAATCTATAGAGAAACAGATAATAGAGCTGGCATCTAGAGTCGATGATATTGAAAAAAGGACAATATTCAAAGAATGCCCATCTATAACTTCGTCTATAATTGGAGAAGTTAAATAAATTTTTCGAATATTGTTGTGGTTTTTTTAAAATATTTGTTTAATTATACGATGTAAGATATTTTAAAAAGTAACCCGAGTTAGGACGGTCCAATTTCTTTGTATGGGATGGGGTATTTCTACTATTATAATATCATCTGTAATAGTCTTACAGTATTGACGAAACGTTTGGCTCAGTTTGTAGTGATCCTACTTGATACGCCAACGGTCGCGGGTTCGAGTCCCACTGGGGGCATCCATTTGTGCGACGAGCACGAATGTTTGTACTCCAGTCATGAGTGTTTATATTTATAATATGTATGTATTTAAAGTTATATATGTATAATATATCAACTGTCTGGCATCCATAACACAGGCCTTGTAGCTATAGGTATATTTATTTATTTATTTCCTACAGTATCATTATTTACGCTAAGAAAACAAATTTATACAAAGGGCTGGTGATTAACTGGTGGTGATTATAGAAATCAAAAACTTACACAGTTTTTATAATATTTATTTTACACATTTTATATTTAACGTTCAATTCTAACAACACAAAACAACGAATTCAATTCAACTTTAATAATATTTGATCGTCCCAACAATAACACTAGCAACATTTAATATAAAAAAATTAAAAAGCGATCATTAATTCATTGCACAGTATTGTCATTGATAAAAAATAAAAATATGAAACCTACAATAAATATTTGGCACATTTTATTCTAATAAGTACTAAAGTTATATCTAATATTGTTCTCAGTTAATCACAAGGTACATTTCCAAAATCCGACATAAAATGTTAAAAAAAAAACTTTAAAATGTCATTAAAATATGTATATTGAATTTATATGAACACATCTAATATGTCTTAACCCTAGTTAGCCTATCGAAAATACAGATTGAAATGACGTTAAGAGATCTCAAACATTTCGTGCTATATAAAAATGCATATCACAGTGCGATCTCAAAGATAACAGATTTGTTATAATTTTAGAATTTTAGAGTTTTGAAACCTCTCTTAATAGCCAATCTAACTGTAGTTACCTCAAAATATATTGATATGCCTCGAAACATCACGCAATGATACAACACTGAGTATTCGACAGGGCCGAATTAACCATGCCGGGGGCCAGTAGGCAATGCAATTCTCGGGCCCCTTTCACTCTTTTCTAACTTATCATTATAAATTTTTCGTAATTATGCAGGTTAGGTAGATCTCATAGAAATCTAACTGTTGCATTAGTCCTCATGGTGGAATTTTTACCTATTTTTTATTTTTTTAAATTAAATTTTCACTCGATGATACATTTTCATTTTTGTTCCCCGTGCGTGGAGCCCCTAGCCGATACGGGGCCCATAGGCAGTCGCCTAAACTGCGTTATAGATAATCCGGCCCTGGTATTCGATATAAAAATTACGATCTACCACCACCGAGGATGGTTTGAATTTGCGAAACAGTCTTTCCTTTTGTTTCCGGGATCAAGAAGAATACGAAGAACACACAAATGATCATAAAACCGCTGAAGAACCAGAAACAGCTGTAAATACCAATCGCGTCTTTCATTAAGGGGAAGCACAAAGTCACTACGAATACTAAACACCAATTAGTGATCACAGTTATTCCTGATGCAGTTCCTCTAAATTCAACGGGGAACAGTTCAGCCATCATCATCCAAGGTATTGGACCGAAACCCAAAGAAAAAGATACGATGAAAAGAACCAAACAAAGCAAAGGTAACCAGCCTACTGATGCTACATTCACACCACTCTCTTGCAACTTGAAATACGTGCCCAAAACTATCAAACATATGCCCATAATTATACAACTTTGCAAAAGGAGAATTCTACGACCGGCTTTCTCGATTAGGAGAGATGATATATAAGTAGCGATGGTTTGGACGACACCTACGATGATCGTAGCGATTGCTGGAGGGATGTCCGATCCAGCAGATTGGAAGATGTTGTTGGTATAAAATATGACGGCGTTAATACCACTGAACTGTTGGAAAAACATGAGACCAAGAGAGCAAATGAGAGCCATTAGAGATGCTCGGTTCGTTACCATAGCCAATATGCCGGCTTTTTGACGAGACGAATTGTCGACCTGAAAAGAAATAAGTAATTTAGGAAGTTGAATATAAATTAAAAAATACATACAATATTAGTTTTCTAAGCTCTTATCGCGCGGTCGTAAAACGGCCTTATAAAATACGTAATATTCATATGTTTTGTTCATAAAGTAGCCGTAATTTCTAGTAATGGCGTGTTTTAACATTGCTTTGTTAATTTATGTTAAAATATGCATACACGTGCATATTTTGACATAAATGTATATCTATAGACAAAATACAATTGTAATGTAAAAGAATATTATAAAAAAAGTGGTGGAGATAATTGATATTTGATGAAATCCAAATGAATACTTAACAATTCCTGTTGTAAGATATGCCATAAAAAGTGGAATTCACACTAAGTGGTTATTGCCTTCAAGAAACAAAAATGCTAGCAAAATTGTGAACATAGCTAGTATGTAAAGTAATAATGTTTCATATAACTTACATCTTTTTGCATATCTTCCAATTCGGCGCTGAGGTCAGCGTCGGGACCTCGCAGCCATCTTAAAGCTTTCTCAGCGTCACGTCTTCTGTTCTTTCCTAGAAGATATTGAGGAGTTTCTGGCATCCACCTGTAAATTTTATTTAAATAATTGGGGTGAGTTAATACAGTCACTTCGTTGTAATAAAATAAGTATATTGTGTTCTAAGAACGAAGAAGAAGGCGTTAATTCTATAAAATAATGAAGAATTTATGTTATATACTTATTAAATCGATTTATTAAAAAAAAATAACTATAAAAAACAATTTTTATAAATTATAAAATTCTTGTTAACCAGTCCGGTAAAATTAGACATAAAAACGATCAAATAACAAAAACCCCGACAGAGTTAAATTTTGGTAAAGACTTTGGGTACACTAGTAGAAAAGTGCCAAAAGCACCCATGTGCTAAAAAAGTTATTCAAGGTCAAAGGTCAAACTTTTCGGTTTTTTGGTTTTTTTCTAAAACGGTAAGTTTTATCATAGATATAGTCCAAATTAAAATTGTAGATCATAAAATTATCTACAAAAATAGTCGCAATACTTTTTTCTAACAATCACCATTTCTAAGATATCACGATTCTAAAAGTTGGAAGGTTTCTACCAAAATTCAGCTCTGTCAGAGTTCATGTTATTTGAAATGTCTATTTTGACCGGACTATAAATTGCCATACTACGTTTTTATGATTGACAGACTCATTTGGCTTTATTTATGTTGTATACGCCCGCTATAGTTTTCTTAAATTAAGTACTTTGTACTGCAAATCTTAAGCTACATGGAAAAGTTAATCTGTTATTGTTATAACCTATAGTAGGGGAGCCCAAGAGGGGATTTTCTGTAGTTACTCGAGCGCGGCAGATTAACATAAAAGAGGTTACCTTGCACTCTATTGAGTACTTTCACCATAATATAAGTCTTCTATATAAAGGGGCGCGTCTAGGGAAGCCGATTAAAATATTTAAAAAATGTTTTGATAAGGTAGAAATACTTGAAGCCGTCAGATTAAGGTGTAGTAGGCTAGTCACATCCTGAAAAGTTTCCAATTCAATAATCTGCCGATTTGCACAAGCCGAAGAGGCAAAAATCGACTATAAAGTTTATGATGATTTTTGCCTCTTAGGCTTGTGCAAATCGGCAGATTATTAAATTGGACACTTTTCAGTATGTGACTAGCCTACCACACCTTAATCTGACGGTTTCAAGTATTTCTACCTTATCAAAACATTTTTTAAATATTTTAATCGGCTTCCCTAGACGCGCCCCTTTATATAGAAGACTTATATTATGGTGAAAGTACTCAATAGAGTGAAAGATAACCTCTTTTATGTTAATCTGCCGCGCTCGAGTAACTACAGAAAATCCCCTCTTGGGCTCCCCTTATTTATTTTATTTTTTTTTAACGTTGGGAAATGCATTTACGCACGACGTGTGGGACTCACCGGCCTAATACAGCCAGTACTACCCACTAAAACCCAACAAAACCTTCCCCCGTCTTAATGGGGCGTCGCAGGATCGCTTACGCATTCAACTACGACGCCCCGACGGCAGGTCTGCCGAAGCAGACCACCACAACCATGGGGTTGCTCCAAGGTCCACTCTGCTATCAGAGAAGTACCAGGAGCAACCCGCATGGTACACCGCCCCCCGAAGAGGGCCACCTCCCACCGTCCACCGAAGTGGGCAACCTCCCTGTGCGTTTCTTAGCTTCGCGCCCGGTTGGATTGCCGGGCACTACTGAGCCCCCCACCACGACAAGGTGAACGCACGTTGGGCTCCCCTACTACTAAGTGTAGAACTGTAAAATTTCACTAACAAAAAAATTGAATCTCTTACCAAAACACAGCAACTAATAACACCGGGAACACAGCAGATATAATCGACAACGTCCTCCAATGCGTCCACCCGCCCACTACGAAGGTGAACAGGATGCCCACGGTCAGGAACAGCTGGAAGAAGGCGCCTAAAGAGCCCCTGATTGAAGTCTCAGCTATTTCGCCTATGTACATTGGTGCTGCGACGCATATACCACCTGGAAGATAAAGGTTGGTGATACTTATATTTTACTAGGTTCTGTCCGCGGCTTTGCTCGCATGATTTATTTACGTATAATAACTATGCTCCTTACGGTAGCTTGATATTAAATAGCTTAAAAGTTTTAAATTTTAATAAATTATAATAAGTTCTCGAGAAATCAGAAACTTTTGAGTGTTGAGAAAAAATTATATAATTATACATATGTAATCATAATAAATCTCACCAGTGGCAAGTCCAGCAAAGAACCTGGCAGCAATGAGCATCCCGGCGCCATTCGCAAATATTGTGAGCAACCAGTTGATCAGGAAGGGCGCTGCAAGGACGAGGATCGTGGGGCGCCTCCCAAACTTTTGAGCTAGCATGCCCACGGGTAAGGCACTGATAGCCGCACCAATAGCCAGGATAGATGATACGAGGGAACCTAGAATTTAATATCAAAACTCAGAATTTGTTTCATTTATTTACTTTACAGGGAAGAAATAATACTGATTCCTCATAATATTTTCTTGGGTTTATACGAATATTTGACATTTTAAATAAATCTATCTTTTCAAATTTTTTTACGGATCCAGAAATCAAAATAAATCCGCGAAAAAATTCGAAATGATAATTTTATTCAAAATACTGATTTCTCATTTTGTTTACGCGAAGGGTTCATATCAATCGATTATATGCTTAAAAATATATTTTCAAAATATAGTGCTCTATACTTTTAAGTAAAATTCAAGTGTCTCTCTATGATTTTAAAATAACTTTCTTATACATTAAAGTATTATGTTATTGAAATTAAAAAAAAAACAGTTGAAAGTGATAAATCCTTTCTATCCTGGAATAGATAAAAGGTTCCCGTTGGTAAATCGTTGACATTTTACAATATTTAAGCACGGTTTGTAGTGTGGCAAGAACAAAGCTAGAGCAGGTATATTATATCATGAATAAGACAAATGTTTGCCCCAAAGATGGCGTCATCTAGATACCTCTTTTAAAAAAAATATTTTAACTAAGATCTATCTTCTTTCAATTTAGGGTAAAATATTTGTTTCTTAATAATTTCTTATTTAATCAACCGACTTCAAAAAGGAGGAGGTTCTCAATTCGACGGTTTTTTTTTTGTTACCTCAGAACTTCGTCATTTATTAACCGATTTGGACAATTTTTGTTTTGTTTGAAAGGGTATACTTCTAGATTGGTCCCATTTAAATTTCAAAAAAAAATACCACCCCTAAGAGTGGAAAAATAGCTAATGATGGATTTAACCTACTTCTAATTGTCATATTGACTTGAAACTTTGCAAGTGTTTCTATTTCCGTTGATAGTACAGTGGTTCGGTATTGTTGACCTGATCTGATGGTAAGGCCAGAAGGTGGATAGGTGGAACTCTTCAACGGCGAATAGTAGATACTTTGAGTTAGGGCTTATTTTGTTTGATTCGACAAGCCTAACGCGTTAAAATTCTTACTTTGCTACTACTGTCTACACTAAAAAGGGAAAAATAAAAACTTTTTAACAAAAAAATGAAAACCGACTTCAAACAAAAGCACTAAAAAGTAAAAATAGCTGATTGGTAGTTTTCATTTACTATACATACCTAATCAAATATTTTCGACTTCGGTGTGCTTTGCTTTGTATGGGCTGGCACCGATTTCGAAAATATTTGATTAGGTATGTATTTAATAGGTAGGCTTATTAGTGGCATCAATGAAAACGAACATATCCCAATATCTTATGAAATTGACTGAATCGGTATTATCGTTACTTAACTAACTATTAGAGCTAAAATTACTTCAGCACAAAGTCTCATTGATATTATGCCAAAAGTACTTTCATAAAAACATTTGCTTGTTATTTTTTTGGCTTTTGAAATAGGCGTGATTTTCTCAATCATGTGATAGAAGAAAACAATGTGCGTAACCTTCGATGACGTTTCTGGCAGAAATCCAGAAGAACGTAACATTTGTGGGTGTGGCCTCTGTATATATAGAACTGACCGCGTACATTTTTAGCTTCCTTTATATTATGTTTGTTTGTCAAATTCTTGAGACTTTAAATTCTTATGTAACTGCTGTAAAGCAAAATTACTTTGGTTTTTGAATTTAACATAAATTATATTGATCCTAAAAAATTTTTTTCAGACTCTGCGACGTATTTACCCTTGACCTTTATATGAGAACACATAAAAGGAATTGTCAAAGTACATCAGTCTTCTCAAATTTTCCAATGATGATTTTAAAATCACAGAAAATACATAGGTATATCCAGTAATATAGACCTGTCATTTAGATAAACAATAATATAAGCTACGAATAAATAATAAGAAGTAATCAACAGATTATATTTTATGCTAGATTAATTTGTTTTTTTTTTAATCTAAAAAGGCACAGGCAACTAGTTGAAAATGACTTAACGCAAATAAAATATAATAATATTTGTTAATAAAGATCAGAATGTGTTGATTTGTTGGACAGAGCGATTTTAGCCTATGTACTTTATAACTAATATACGATAACAGAGAAAAATATGTGTTATCACAGTACGACAGGATAAAGTCTGATTGTGTAAACAGTATGTCAGTATTGGAAAATAATGAATTAGAAAGAAGAAACAGTTTTGTTCATAGAATACTAGCTGTAGCACGCGGCTTTGCTCGTTTTTCCTTTATATACAATAATTACACCGCTCCTGAGAGTAGCGCGATGAATTAGTCTGTAATCTTTTCAGAAAATAACCTTTCTTCTTTATATTAAATATAGAAGTTCTATACTTCCGTTCTCTATCTTTCAGTTATATATATTAAATATGTACTTAGAAAAATTAATCATCACGAAAACCAAAAAAAAAATTGGGCACTTAGTTCAATTCATGAATCTGAAAACTGCACAAGTCCTAATCCAGAGTGGGCTCTATGAATTATTTTTTATTATACTCTATAATAAAAAGATAAAAATTATTATAAGCAGTAGGCACTAATTACATGTAAAAGTATGGAAAACACTATGGTGTAATAAGTATGTGTATAAATTAAAAATTTAAAAAACCCCCTACGCAAATTAATTGTCATTTAACGATTACACTGGCACGCGTGATGCACTTAATCGAGTAATCATACGCCAAAATGCCTTACATCATTTTGGAAAAGAGCTGACACTCATACACTGCTGGACTGATATAAATCAAACATAGCTAAGAACCACCGCAAGGAAACTGGCTTTCAAATTAAAAAAAAACCACATCAAAATCGGTCCCTCCGTTTGAAAACTACAATGCCACAGACAGACACACACACACACACGCACGCACGCACGCACGCACACACGCACGCACGCACGCACGCACGCACGCACGCACGCACGCACGCACGCACAGACAGACAGACAGACAGACATCGACGTCAAATTTATAACACCCCTCTTTTTGCGTCGGGGATTAAAAAGACTTTCTATTACCTATATTTACATCCACCAGTAGGTATATTGAAAAAAAAATCTTGATATTTCTTTTGTTACTACGTTTGCATTTGAATTATTTTGTATCAACGTAACGTTGAAATGCGTAAAAAAAGTATCAATTATAATATTCACCATTTTTTGCGGAGGATGGTCAAGTAACAATATGCAACGTTATGCTCATCCTGTTAGGATTAAATTTAAAAAATTACTTACTTTCATTGGTGTCCAATAAGAAACCCGCTTCTTGTCCTAGTGAGTTGCGTAAAACATCAGTAACATTTTGAGGTTCATATACTGTCTCGTGAAGAGAGAAGATATCTCTTTCTGTAGTGGTCGTTATATTTTGCGTGGTGTTCTTCGGTGGCTCTAACTGGGGTAAGGCGGGCGACGTCCAGGCCAAGATGGTCCCTGCCGCTACTGCACCTATTGCCGCTGTAAATAAAAAGGCACTTTACTTTCCTGGAAAATTAAGCTTTTCTATGGTAAAAGGAAAAATTTTATACAGACAATAATTTCAAAAACGTTAATACAAATAGTAATAAAATAATAAAAATTATAGTCTAAAAATTATTGTGCTTTTTTTGTAATTTGTCACTAATTTCTGTCAGTTTGAAATATTTAATTTCTAATTAAACTATCTTCCATCTTCTATTGAGCTTCTGTTCGCTTCTAACTCTAATTCTTTTTCTAAAATAAAAGTAGCCTAAGTTACTTCTTATAATATCAGCTATCTGCCAGCGAATGTCCCGTCAAAATAGGTCCAGCCGTTTCGGAGATTCGCCGGAACAAACAGACACTCCAAAATTTTAAAAATTGTGTTTTTCATACAAGTGCTGTGTATAATTATTAAACTTTTAGCAAAAAAACTGTTATTTTGACATTACAAACAGACACTTTAATTTTATTTATCTAAATAGATTACTTTGTGATTGCTTTATTAGTAAAATCCCTAAAGATGTTATTTAACTAACTTGAACTTGATATCTCTTATTTTTTTATATTATGTGGTTTGTCCAACAAAACATTATTATAAGTATTAAAACAAATGGAGCGTTTACGCAAGTTATCATTGAAGTCAAAGAGATTAAATATTAAATGATAATTGGTTTTTTTTACATCATAAATTTCTCACAATAAAAAAACTATATTTTTATAGTAAAGATTAAAAAAATGTTATATTTAATTAGTATAGTAGATAGTTAAAAAAACATATATAATATGGTATCATAGTATGAAAAAATAATGATTTAAAAAAATGTTTACTTTAGCTATAGATACATTCAATTAAAAAAAACACAAAATTATTACAATTTTTTACTGATCGTCATCTACACTATAAATTCTAAAAATAAAAGGCGACTGTCGTGAGAAGAATTGACGAAAGTATACTATACAAAATATGATATTATGTATGTATTCAGCCCTTTTTTTAACGTCCCATTGCTGGGCACGGGCCTCCTTCAATACGAGGGGGATCAGGCCATAGTCCATCACGCTGGCCAAGTGCGGGTTGGCTGACTCAATATAAATATAATAAATAAATGAATATGTTGGGACATTAACACACAGCACCATCTAGTTCCATGGTAAACTACGAGGCTTGTATTATGGATACCAGATAGTTGATACACTACATATACAAATTTAAATACGTACATATTATAAATATAAACACCCATGACTGGAGTACAAACATTCGTGCTCATCACACAAATGAATGCCCCCAGCGGGATTCGAACCCGCAACCGCTGGCATAGCAAGTAGGGTTACTACACACTGAGCCAAACGTGTCGTCAAATATGACATACTCGTGTGTAAATACTTTTTTAGATTTACGCGCGAAATAATCCGAAAAAATAGTTTTATTTAAAATACTCGTATGTTATCCATATTATGCATATCGAAGCGCAATTCTTCCTGTGGGTCTTAATAGAGCTATAATTGAACGTACGGCGTACCAAATGTTTCTATTTATATCCGTCCGTATGCATTCATTAAGAGTAATGTAATTTACTGTAGGGTCGATCGATACATAATTTGTAATAAAGTTAGAATCAATCGTCTATATATAATCTATCCTTACTAATATTATTAACTAGCGGTCGCTAGGTACGTTTTAAATAGATATAAATAGTTATTAGCCAGCGTCAGACATATATATGTATATATATATATATATATATATATATATATATATATATATTTCGTTAATTTTTCTAATGTTTTAATACTTATTATCCTATTCCGGACTAAAAGAAATCCAAAAAATCAAATATCATAAAAATTGGTCCAGCCATTCTTGAGTTATAAAAGGTGTAACTAAGACGACTTTGTTTTATATACCGACTTGTATATAGATGTGAAAGTTTGTGAGGATGGATGGATGTTTGTTACTTTTTTACGCCAGGACGGCAGAACGGATCTGGGTGAAATTTGGCACAGATATAGATTATGTCCTGGAATAGCACATAGGTTACTTTTTATCCCGAAAAAATATACGGTTCCCGTGGGGTAGATTTGTTTTTGTCTACGGACGAACCCAAAGCAAAATGAGGAGGAGTCGCTAGTATTCTATATATTATCAATATAAATATCGATATGCGTGTGCTATATGTTCCCTATGGACTTCAAAACGGCTGCGGCGATTTTGATGATTAAGCAATTTTCACATTAGCCCAACGGGTGATCTGTGAAAGGTAGCGATCGGGGGGCTTAGCCATATTACAAACGTTTCCTATCTAATCTCTTTCTATCATTGGTAGCGTATTGTCGATAGCTATTTTAGAAAACGATTTGATGCTAGCCATATCAACAAAACTAGTGTCTACAGTGTCAATCGTTCATTCTACAATGTGGATCGAAAAATAGCTTATTGTGAGCGTTCCTATACACGTCAAAGTCACGGTCTTGTTTGAAAAATCAAAATATGTTTTGTTTTGTGATAAAAAAGTGAGTGAATTATAATGGAAATACTTGAGTGTTCAATATTCTTATTTTAACGTAAGGATATTTACATTTTACGTCAAGAATGCAGCTTACGTGAGGTCGATGTAGAGTGGATGTTTTTGTTCAGCACCTATGAAGTGGTTGATAAGTGATTTAAAATCGTCGCTTAAGTAAGTATAGCATTCCTTCAGAGTAATTAATTTATATTTTATTTGACAAAATGAAGTGACTCGTAATGTAAGTCGTCACTTTAAGAAAAATAGTTTTGTCTTAAAAAGGGTCTATTGAAATATTTATGTATTTGACTTTGTAGTTGTTAGTGTTACGGGGATGGAAGTGCGCAACGGAGGGGAAAGAGCTTTACTTTAAAATGGGTTAGTTAGCTTAAGTTCGACACATTTCTAGCTGGGGTACTGAGTCTGTGTGTGTTGCTAATATCACAGTGCCAAATATAAATAAATTATTATAGTGAGGATGGAGTCCAGATGCCGAGCTAGCCCAGAACAATTTTCAGCTTTACTAGAATTCATGGAAAGGTACGTATATAATTATTAGTTATCTCAGCTTATAGTCATACTCAGGAACTAGAAAATAACGAGGCTACTCTTACTGAGGCTTTAAACTATAACTGTATATTTCAACAATGTAATGTAGACATTTTCCCTAACACCTTAAGTTTATTTAAAGAGAAATTGTATTTAAATATTTAGATAAGATTAAATTGTTGAACAACTTCAATGTCACTACCAATTTTAATTTATTAGAAGACAACACCGGGGTACCTATATTGTCAATATATAATATCCACTTTTTGCCCAGTTTTGTTTATTGGGCCATAAATTTTTTGTTTCTTGGCCGATTTCGATGTTTTTTTTTCAATTTATGGAGGATAAAATGCACTTTGATTTGATGATATATATATATATATATATATATATATATATATATATATATATATTTATTTGTTGTATATTATTTATCATATTTGCGTTTTGTCGCATTATATAGGGGATTGTAACTGAAGATCTTTTTTAATTTATTCCTCAACCACATAAAATTTAATTAAAATATTTCTACACAAAGCTGTGCCTTTTAGTTAATTAAATAGAATTAAATAGAAAAGATGAAAATTAATTAAATAGAAAATAGAGAACTATTATTGTGTTAAACTCATGTCACTATGTAAATATAGTTAGTAAGCCTTTGACAAAAAATAAATAAAATATAATAGGTTTACTACTTGCATAGAAAACAAACAAAACTATTGTATTCACCAGCAAAGATGCTTGACACCTCTAGGTAAATTTCTAAGAAATTAATTAAAATTCTAAGAAATTTATTGTTAACTGACATGCCGGCGTGTCCGCGCTCGTGGAGGGATTAATCAATAGACCCTTTATTTTTCTAATATAGTTTTAATTTATAGCCATGGAGATATAGCAAGACCCCAACAAGGGGCTCAAGGCAGGATAAGGGCAGACCATCTATGGCAGGAGTTGAGAGAGTTACTTAACTCCATTGGTGGAGGAGTCAATAGATCAATGGAAAAATGGAAAAAAGTGAGATCCATTATTTTAATTCTCAAGAAAAGCTCTCAATAAAATTATACATTTTTTTATAGGTATTTCAAGCTCAGACTAGTGTTAGCATATTTATCTATTTTAGTTTAATTAAAACAATTGCAAACCAATCATAAGGTACAATAAATATTTACTATATAGTAAAAAGAGGCAAAAATAATTATATGAAAATATGTCCTTCATCTTTCTCACACAACTTTAAACATACTAATAAAATCTGTTCATTATCAATAAACAGAATAATAGTAGATATCAGTGTATATAACAATCTGTTCACTTAATTGACTGTATAATTAGATAACAACTTACATTATTTTACATTAACTGACTAATATCTGCAGGTGTGGGCGGATTGGAAAGCCAAAACAAAAAAAAAGGCCTTGGCAATGCGTCGCGAGGCTAGTGGTACTGGTGGTGGTCCAAGCAGCAGACAAACTCTCACAGCTTCGGAACAAAGGGTGTTGGGCATAATGGGGTTGTCTGCTGTTTTTGGTCTAGTTGGAATTGAGGAGAGAGGATTTGATGTTAGTTATTTACTTTCCTTGTGATTTTTGTAGTAGTAGTTGTAATAATAGTAATATTAGATTACTACTACCCACTAATAAGTGGGTTTAGGTTGAATTCTTTAATGTATATTTGTCATATTCTCAGGAACCACCACTTCAAGGAAGCCCTCTACCATCACCATCCAGAGATACCGTCCACACTGAATTTCCCTCCCAAACTGCCGCAGACGAGATTATGTTGTATTCTATAGAAGGTACTTTCTACTTGTATTCATTATGTGCTAAAATGTATTTGCACGTGAAGGATTATAATGTATAATTCACACCTTGCTTTGTATTGCCCAAAGGGTTAACAAAGCGTTAAGTCATATAAATAAAAATTAAATGCTGTTCATTGGTAAGGGCATTATTTGAGAAGTAATATATATATATATCAGTTTGTAACTATAAGTTTTGTTTCCTCAGCGTCTCCTGCCCCATCAGCTCAACTGCCATCTCCCTCTATACTTTCACGTCTTCCTCCAACCCGAGTGTCAACACCACCGCTCGCCTCTGTGACCACGCCGATGCCGTCAGCGACGTCTCGTAATACAACTATACGAGGCGAACCACAACGACGAAGGCGTCCGGTGACCCCTTCGCCCGTGGCGTCACCTGCCACGTCTACGCCGCGGCGGCATAGGCTGCTTCGAGCACGCACAAGGCGAGTACAGACACCATTCGAACGAGCCACGAGCGAGTTCGTAACCGTCGAGAATCGCCGACTGCAATTGGAGGAAGACCGCGAAAAAAATAACCATCAGAGGGAGATGGAACGCCTTCGATTGGAATCGCGAAGGATTGAAATGGAAGAAATCCAAAATCAAATGTTTAACCGTTTAACTGGGATTCTAGATAGTTTGACAGAAATTTTAACTCAGTTGAGACCATCATCACTGGCTTCAACAGTTATTCTGTCTTGATGTGTCCAGTAATGGTGGCCTCACTTGTGAATGTGTCAAATTGTCTGAATTTTCAGCATCTTTTATTTCAATCCTTTGCAATTCTTTTCAAAAAGGAAATAGGTATTTTTTTTTAAATACAGATTTTTATTAATGTTTTTAAATTTATTTTATTTTTGTTAATACATTTTAAGTACATTTTTATGCTAAAAACCTCGTCTTCCTTACAATAAGAGTTTACATAATAATAAAGGCATTTAGTATAATGAAAACATTTGTTTCATTTTTACAATTACTTATTAAATATTATATTCATACATTTTATAATATACATACCTAGTAAAAAAAGAAAAATGCAAATATTCACATTAATATTAGTGATGTAGATAACGAATATTCGAATATTTTTTGACAAGTATTTGCCTGAAACGAAATAATTTCCCATTTGTTCTAGTTAGTCTAATTGAAAAATTTAAAAATATCACATCTAAATAAAAAAAAGAATATCCAGCCTTATATTTAAAAAAAGATTCTAAATTATCTCTTTTGTGAAGAACGAACTGAATTGACGACACGTTTGGCTCAGTGTGTAGTGACCCTACTTGTTGTGCATTCATTGTCTGATGAGCATGAATGTTTGTACTCCAGTCATGGGTGTTTATATTTAAAATATGTATGTTTTTAAAGTTTATATATGTGTAGTGTATCAACTATCTGGTATACATAACACAAGCCTCGTAGCTTACGATGGAACTAGATGGTGCTGTGTGTTAATGTCCCAACATGTTAAAAAAAAACTTGAGAAGACTAATCAAATTAATAACAATATCTAGGACTTATAACTCTTGTTACAATTATAGAAGGTTTGTACTTATTTAGCAGATTGTAAACTTTTCATTTACAGAAAACAAAAATATATTTGTAACAAACTTAAACTTATTATATCCAATATGTTATATAACCTTTGGCTTTCATGTATATTTTTCCATTCCATTATATATATTTTTCTAAGAATTAAGGCTAATGAATTATAAACTAAAAAATAATAATAGTGAATACTTAACTGAACCGTTTGTAAATAAAGTTATAATTTCTTTTAACAGAAATCAAAACAATATTTTTACGATTATATAAACAAAAGTAAAGTTCTAATATCCATAATTTTTATTTAACCTTCGGTTCCAACGATATATTTTTTCACTATATATTTTCTTCTATATATTTAATAAATAATATGTTATTACCGACACAGAGGCGGATTTTGTAGTTTTTAGAATTTTTTTCTGTCTGTTTGAGAATGCATCACGAGAAAATCACTGGACAGATTTTGATGAAATTTTGCATAATAGTAGCTGCGTCAAAATAAAGAATACTTTTTACTGCGGGAAAATATCTCATTTTTGAGACATCTGTACTAAACGTTAAAACGTATTATATAATAACTATAAATTAATGATAATGAAATATAAACTACACAATTATATGTTAATAACAATGTTGACCAATAGAATAATAATTAATAACAATAATAATAAAAAATATTAATTATAAATAAACTTGCTGTAACTTTAAATTCTTAGTAATTAAATTGATGTAAAGGAATCTAAAGTTTAAAAATAAAAGATTTCAAGCTCTTTTTCCATGCAGCCTATTTTTATTTAATTTCAACAACATTCGCATTCGTGAATATTGAAGATAAAAATTCGCATTCGCGAATGTGAAAAATCGAATATTTCTTACTATTACTAATTAATATGTACAACTAGCCTAAAACCTATCAAATCAAATCATTTTTGTTATCACAGGTGCACAAAATAACATAGAAAGGTCTTAATTCTAGATTCAGATCTTTGTGATATACAATGAGTTATTTAACTAGTTAAAACTGTATAATACTCCTAATGTAACCTATTTAATAAGCAATTCAACATGGCCCTACCTTGGATTAGCTCATTTTGGCTATCTATAGTGGTAGAGATGGGAGCTCGCATGGGTATATCAATTTCTATTTTTAGAACGAACTATGTACCTTGTAAACTTGGCTACGAATTTTCAATTCGATCGTTTTGACCACGTGACATATCGTTCAAAATACGTAATGCCCATACATTTCATTAGTTTTCTAAATCGTTAACGATTGTAGATAGTCATCATGGCTAAGCCCCCGGGAGTTTGAACGCGGACGAGGCCACGGGTACTGCTAGTTATATTACAAAAATGAATATTTTATGCCTCAAAGAGGCAGCAAATATTCATACTTTCAGTTTGAGTGTATTTGAAATCAATGTTGTTTTTTAATATAAACTTATTGTCATCCAAATTTCAAACACAAGGTCCTACTTTAATAATTCATTGTGGTACCTAATAGATAAATCTTAAAGCATCAAAACTAGTTGTTAGCAGGAGGAACATAAATTAGCTCTCTTATATCATTATAATTATTCAATTATTTGCTATTTAGTGGTGGATTGATTAATGTTGTGAACAAATTGACAATCTGCCAGTTTTACGGCAATGTACATTGACCCCTACATGTGTAATCATTAATTTTAACGAACGAAATATTATATATCTTAATATATTATATATAGCGTTAGCCATATTCTTTTTCGTTAATTTTTCATTATTTCTCTTTATTAAAACCTTCCGTGGACCTTAAGGACCATACAAAAAAATAAGTTAGCCGAATCGGTCCAGCCATTCTTGAGTTATGCGCTTACCAACATTCATTTTTATTTATAGAGAAGAGAGAGACAGAGACGAATAATGACGTTATTCGGATACTATTATATATGTGAGTTTGTACGCGTGTTACTCTTTCCCACTGAAATGGCTGGACCGATTTGGATGTTAGTACAAAGATAGATTATGAGATGGAGTAATACATAGGCTACTGTTAGGCATATAGGGTCGCACCATAGAATAAATGTTAACGACACAATTAAAAAAACTAACATGATATGTACCTAAAGGTTAAACCCTTAATTTAGCAATAATGGATTAAATAACCCAAGAATAAACAATTTCGTATTATTTTAGAATAAACTGTCTTTTCGGATTTTTTCGGGAATTTATTTTGATTTTTGGTTCCCGACGTTTCGAATGCTTTACAAGCAATCATGGTCACAGGAGAGACTAAGGCGTTAGATGTCTCAAAGACATTATATAGTTGTTACAGACAAAATTTCGTATTATTAAAGAAACAACTTTAAAAACAATAGAATAAATCATAAATAAAATAAATCGGAAATAATTAAAACAATATTAAATACCGTTCTGAATATTCCTTAATATATAAAATACTACTCATAGTTATTACACACAGGAAAAGCATAATATTAAGTATTTATTGATATAAGACTACGTCACCCTGACGTCTTTCCTATTTGGGTAATACTAAGGTATTTCCCAAGTTCACTTGAAAAGTATCCTTTGTTCTCCTTCGAGGTTCCATCTATCTCTATAGTCTATAACAAAATTCATCAAAATTGGTTTAGGCGTGCAAACAAAAAAACGAAAAAATAAAAATAATATTCGTTATACCTATTACTATGGGTATGGAGTATATAGTGGGCTAAGGCCCAAACTAAATTTTGATGAATTTTGGTATAGAGATAGATGGAACCTCGAAAAAAGACAAAAGGATATTTTTGTCACGAAAATAAAACTTGAAGGAGATGAAATTAAAATATGGAAATCCTTTTTTTTATTGCTAGAGACAAGGTTAAGATGTTTTCGAAATTTCGAGAAAAAAAATTTTTAAGTTAAATTTTCAACGTTAGATTCTACAAACATGAAATGATTTAAAATACCTGCAACAGCAGCTATATACTGATTAGTCTTCTTGGTGTCTCCGCCCTTCTCCTGGACGGAGAGCATGTGCATAGTCGGCTTTTCCATATTTTATTTTAACGCATCCTGAAATTAAAATAAGATTTTTTATAAGAATAATGATGATGATGTTCTCCTAGCCGATTCCGGCCACGGCGGCCAATCTCAATGAGATTAGCCAACTGCGCAGGAGATATTATAGTGCTCAAGTATACGCGCAGACACAAGTGCACTCTCTATTCCTATCACTCTCATACTCCGGTGGGACGACCACTCGACACGACCGGTGAGAGTTAAGGCGCAGGACCGACGGCTTTACGTGCTCTCCGAGGCACAGGGGTGAAACACCGCCAACTTCCCAACTCCGGGCTGTTACTGAGACTTACTATACAGGAAGACTCAATAACTAAACTTGGCCCGACCCGGAACTCGAACCCAGGACCTCCGGGTGTGCAGCCAGCGGGTTCTGCTAGTATTTGTATAATTATCGATATCTTATTTAACGGTATAACTTCGATAAAAAAATCCAAGAATTCAAGAGAAATTTAAAAGTCCGAAGTTCGTAAAGTCTTTAAAGCCAGATAATGATATTTGTATAAAGAAATAGTACATAATTCATTGCAAATAACAAAAACCTCAGAGCCTTGGTCGTATGTGCTTAGAACTAATATGTGCTAATCGAGCGCTAATATCTTACCGCTGTTGCAAAAACGTCATAAGTATACCTTCATATATTTTAGTTTCTCTCAAAATTACAAAATTAATATTATTTATTTTGAAGATAAAACTTGGAGACGATCCAAGATTTATAAAGAATTTATTCCCTTTTTTAATGATCTTATTTTACCGACCAATCTCCTTCGTGTCTTCTCCATTCTACGTGGCATTGGCGAAGTGATCTGTGTTCAACTGGCACGATTTGAAGCCATTAACAAGAAAATTGAATTGAATATTGGAGACACTAAGCGATAAAAATGTACAATTAATATTATTTATTCACACTATTCATGTCATTACCTTTGGACATATACACAAACTACGACTGTTTATGGATGCCTCATGAACGGTTAGGATAAAAATATTTGGAGCAAGACCTTAGCCATTATAAAGTTAGCAAAACAACTTTCAGGTGAAATGGATTTTATTTCATTTCAGAGAGTAACCAGAAAATATTCAATAGTTTTTACTAATACCCTAACAAAATAAACTTTCTTAAGATATGCTCTTATGTTTTTCATGTTGCCAATTTTTTTTAAAATATTTAGATTAGCTAAAAAATTCTACCTATTATAAATAATAAGAAGATAATACAATTTTGTATTAATTGCTAATGTTACCTTTCAGATATGATAAATATTTGATTGTTAATTGTTATAGAGTTTTAAATTATTTGTGGATATTTTTTTAAGAATAATTAATTAAAATATTTTGAATTATGACCAATTTCTATCATAGGACTCGAACATGTCGTGGAACGTAGATCTATCTCAACAGTAGTCACAGGTTCAAATCCTGCTCGAGGTTAATATTCGTGCCGCGTAAATATTGGACCTATCTGAGTGTTCAGTGTATACACTAATATACATACATGTATCATATTACTATCAATAGCTATATTACGGCACTTCGTAGAAAATACACAAACACTATGCATTAAAATAGAATTTGATTAAAACAATACATTGTCATTTATATGAAGAGTTCAACAAGTAATGTTTACCGTGGGTCAATTCGATGCGACAATTCACTGCATGTTAATGAGACTCAATGGAGTAAACGGTAGGTATAAGCGTAGTCATCCCGTTCTGTACTTTATTTGAAACTAATTTTCGCTTACGGCTTCGCTTGTGATGTTTATCTATACATATAATAAAATTGTAACTAAGTCGAATATGTACATTAAATATTTTTTGGAAAATCTAATTGAAATAGACATTATTATCGATATAGAGTCCGAATCTATAGTTTATAGAATTTTTGTCTGTCTCTCTGTCTGTTTGTATGTCTGTCTGTCTGTTACCGCATCACGAGAAAACCACTGGACAGATTTTGACGAAATTTGGTATGATGATAGCTGGTTATCCGGGTCAACATATAGGACTTTTTACCGCGGGAAACTATCTCATTTCTGAGAAAAAATACAAAAACTGCATTGTAAGAGTATACTATGTAAAACCTAAGAATTTGCATTTTGGTCATCTGAACGCGGGCGGAGCCGCGGGCAATGCTAGTATTAAATAACGTTAATAGAAAAACGAAAACAAATCTATCCCTCGGGAACCGTATATTTTTCAGTTATAAAAAGCCTATGCGTTATTCCAGACTATAATCTATCTCTATGCCAAATTTCATCCAGATCTGTTTCGCCGCTCTGGCGTGAAAGAGTAACAAACATCTACACATACTCACAAACTTTCACATTTATAATATTTATACAGATAATTCAGCCATTTTCTACGTTCCACTGCTGGGCAACGCGAGGGAATCATGCAAAGAAAAAAAGCAAGGTGCGGGTTCGCGGAATTCACATGTCTTTCAAAAACTAGTCATGTTCTATCAGACTGCGGGTTTCCTCTCGATATACGCTCTCATCGTAAGGCAAGTAGTAAGCATATTGAAACTGGTTTGCTATGAAAATATTAAAGTGCGAAGCGAATTGAACCCACTTCAGTAGACTTTCCAAGCGAATACGTAACTGCTGTGCCACTTGCGATATATGCACAACTAAAAAGGCCTGCGTTACTCGGAGAATGCGGCTTTCTATTAATTAAGGATTTTTTTGAATCTGTTAGTAGATTTAGAACACAAATAAACAAATGTTACCTCTTTACAAAAGTGTACAACTCCGAATCCGTTGAAGCGCAGTGGATTGCATGTGTTACAGTCACTAAATATTGTCCCAGAGGTCGCGGGTGCTAATCACGCAGGGCAAATATTTGTTAAAACGATACAGACGTTAGTCACAATCTGAGATTTGTAGACATTGCTCCGTCATAAGACTAGAGTGCGGGACGAGGAGAGCGCGTATTGCAATGATGAACGAATGAAGTTAGTTTTAATAATTTTTTTGCTAAGCAATACCCGAAAAATAAAACAAAATATTATTTAAATAGGCAGAGGTAGCCTAGCAATGTGATCGCTTTTGAAACCGAGTGAAGCGGATTCAAACCCCGGTCTCGCACCTCTGATTTTTTCATGTGTAAATTATTTCTATCGCGATTATTGATTAGTGATTACCACTTGTCTTACGATGAAGGAAAACATCGCGAGGAAACTTGCAAGTTTTTGAAAGAAATGTGAAGTCCGCACACTCGCACTTGGCTAGCGTGGTGAGCTATGACCGGATCCCCCTCTTATTAAAGGGATGCCAGTGGCCAGCATACAGCTTTTCAAATAATAATTAATTGCCTAACTTTAATAAACTCAAATAAATAGTGCCAATAATAGCCAAGTAATGCTGTATCGAATGGCTGAACACAATGAAGTAACATTTTTTTTCAACACTTGTTGATTTTGAATGACGCAAATTAGCAACAACTGAGTTTTTTTTTAGTTTTTACAAAGAACTTGTGGGCCGAAAATGATTTCTATTAGACATAACTCTTTTATTTCAGATATTAAAGATATATACTAGTTAAGTATATTTATAGTCGTACAAAGGTTCTAACAATATAGATTTATTTATTACATACATAAACGCATAAACAACGTTCATAGGTCGTACGACACACCTTTAGGTAATGTAGTACCTAAGTACCCATACTACGTGACCCGTTCAGGGGGCCGATATCCTGACAGACAAATATAAGCCAAATTATTATTTTTTCAACTATCTGATGCAAAAAATGATTTAAAACCATATTTATGAATTACTACGTGAAAAAAGGGGGAAGCAGCAAAAAATTGTAAAAATTAGGTCGCGTAGTATGGGTACGTTCCCTTACGTAATTAACTATACAAAGCTAACAATAAGTCGTGTTATATATAGATCCTTATTAAAATAATATAGTTTAAGAACAAATAAACTTTACTGCAGGTCAATTTGATACCTTCAACCTAATGGTAATGAATCTTGACATAGTGAATGAAGTAATGTTTTAGTCATCCCGATGGAAGGTGAGATGTCACGTTTCTATTACACAATATACCTAGATATTATATAACTAGCGACTCACCCTCGCTTCGCTCGGGTTCGTTCCTAGGTTGGTTCCCCATCCAAATTTTTTCCCCATTTCCACGCCGTTAAGGGATGATTTCCGTGATAAAAAATATTTTATGTCCTTCCCAAAGTCTCAAACTATCTCCTTACCAAATTTCATCTAAATCGGTTCTGAGATCCAGAGATTACCGCCTACAACGTCACAAACTCACAAAACTTTACCTCTTTATAATATTATATTATAGATACGTGCTTCCTTGTATGATACTATAACCGAAAATAAATCGTATCAAATTATGTATGTATATTTAAATATGTAGTAAATGTGTCGTGAATGAATGACGTTTCAAAAAAATTAGGCAATGGTCATTGCTATACAAATGCTTTATATCAATGGCAATAGTTCTAAAAGTTTTTATCGCACCCCAAGAAATTGTATTTTTTATTTTTATTTATCGTTAAGTTTATTGTTTGTATTTTTTAAATATCTTATAAGTAATCAGTGACACTATATGAATATCAATTATGATTATCTTATACTATAATTAATATGGTGTTAAATTTTATATTATTAAGAATAATGTAGGTGTAATTATTTTTGCTATGCATGAGAAAAATAAAACATAGTTGTGTGTAGTATAAAAATATATAATAGTTTCAGTTTGAGTGTTCACTTATAAATAGTCAAGACGGCCCAAGTCTGAGACAAGATGTCGAGAGCTATAAAAAATTATAAATTCTCTTTGATAGAGCCGGAATTCAAACCCAGGGCCTTATAATTCATAGCTATATAACTATAGAAGCGCACATGTAATAAAAAAAATTAAAAATATGTATAAAAAAAACATTTAGACAGTAACGTATTAACAATTCTACGAAGAATTGACGTGATAACCATCAGCGCCAAATC